AAAATCAAAATCAAAATTCTAATTTTTGCTAATATAAATTTGCTATTTAACCATTACCTTTAAAAAATAATAATATTATTTTTTGACAATAATAGCATTGGCTTGGATCATGATGAATGTTTTAATGACAATATTGAAATAGTATGTGAATTCAAAATTTAAAACTACATGTTGGAAATTTTCCAACAATCACTTTAGAACTATACTTAAAAAAGTCCAATAATTATTGATATAATATAGGCATTTAGAGTTAATTACAATGGACCAATTCTTTTTCAGCAACACAACCAATTAATTATTCTCAAAAATATTGCTATGAAATTAAAACCACCTAAGTTAGTGAAGTATGCAATCACTTCTTAAAAGACAAAATTAAGTTAAAATGCCACATATCAAATGTAATTAAATATGCTAGATGTTGTTGAAGCTTCAATTCTTATTATAAATTTTTAAATACAAACAATCAAGTAATGAAGTACTTCATTGCTTGATGATCCAAATAATAATAATAAAAAATAAATTAAGTATGAGCAACAATAAAAATTAAGTATTTTCAAAAAGAAAAGTATTACAAATTCATTTAGCAACTTGTCAAGCTTAAGCAATCTCTCAAATCAAGTGTTATCAAAGATGAAAGATATGCTACTTCATTTAGTAAGTTTTTTAAGCTTAAGCAACATCTCAAATTAAGTATTGTTAATGAAAAAAGATTTATCAATTCATTTGATAAGCTTGTCAAACTTGAGCAATCTCTTAAATAAAGTGTAGTAAAAGAAAAGACAGATTTTTGAATTTATTAGACAAGCTTGTTAAGCTTAAGTAATTATTCAAATCAAATATTATCAAAGAAGAAAGATTTTCTAATTTATTTGGCAAGCTTGTTAAGCTTGTATAACCTCCTAATCAAAGTGTTGTCAAAGAAGAAAGACTTGCCAATTCATTTGACAAACTTTTGAAGCTTAAATAATAATTCAAATCAAGTGTGGTTAAAGAAATAAGATTTTCCAATTTATTTAGCAAGCTTGTCAAGCTTGAGCAATTGGATAATTTAAGTTCTTTTAAAAAAATTAAATTTTTCAATTCATCTGGTCCTAATTTTAAATTTTTGTTACACTCTAAGTTCAAGTTTGTTAAAATATGAGTTTTTTTTTATGGCTTTTGACAATACTTTATATTAATTAGACCAACTTAAATTAAAAAAATCAATCTAGAGCATTATCAAGCACTTAAAAAATATAAAAATATCAAATTATTTTATATTTTAAAATACATAAAATATAAAATTATTCTTCAAATTTATCAAAATATCTTATATTTTATTTTATTTTATTTATTTATTTAAAGATTTTTATATTAATAATATTATATAAATTATCCTAATACTATTTTAAAGTATTATTTTTTATTGTTAACCTATACACTAGTGCCATATTTACATTCAAAATTTATGTGTCTTTATATTCATCTTCTTTTTCAACAATGCTTCAATCTATATCTTGTAATTGATCATGCGATTTTATTATTATTTTTAATTTTTAATTTTTTCATCATTAATTGATAAGCCAACATATTTATAAATATGCTTATATCTTATTTTTTAATTCTATTCTTATTATTGGTCCATATTTGAATATATTTTCTTTCATTATACAATCTCAATTCATATTATTACAAATAAAATATCATATGTTCAAAAATATGTTTTTTTCTTCAACTTTTAAGATATCAAAATTTATCTTCAAAATAGCCCATAGCTAATGATTTATATTATCTTCATCTCCATCCAAATCACTTCTTCTTTTTAATTTTTTCAAAGTTATTTTACAACACCTCAACCCTTTTATCCTTCTAAAAATGAGTCCATAACTTTTAAATGCAAGGACACTCTATTACAAGATCTTATAATCTATTTATCAATTTCAATAAGTTCTTTAGGTAATATATAATCATCTCTATAAGGATAAGCTATAAACAACTTCAAACTTATATCTTTCTCAAATTCTTTAACATCAAATTTATAAATCTTTATAAGATAGTCTTTTACTACCTTCCAATTCTATATTATTACAATCAATATGCTACCTTTGTTAGAATGTAGAACATCCATAAGTACTACATCATTAATGTGACTCTTATTCTTCATATCATCTAACACTAGCATGAATGTTTTGCTCATCAATAATCCTTTCATCATTTCTTATACTTCTTCTAAATTCTTTGATTTCAATTGATTCAAAAACTTTACAAATAATTAAAAATATATCATCTCTATTTTCAATACTTTCAACAAAATATGATATAATTATGAAGATAAGTTCAAATAATCAAAATATGAAATTAAAAAAAGATATGATTTATATCATAGTTTCAAATAAAATAATTTAATCATATGTTCATATTTCAATAATATAACATCATTAAAGAACATATCTTTGAATATATAGATTTTAAAATTAAAAAAATCAATCCAATACATGCATCAAATAAAATCTCAAATATAAGACTTACTAATAGAACATCAACTTGCACATCTTTTGATATCTACTTTTTATGATTTTTTTTCTTAAACGCTCTAAAACAAGATATTTTGGCTATATCAATCTTTCTAAGTATTTTTTCTTCAATTTTAATTTCTTACAACTATTTGCAAAACTTGGTCTTTGTGAAGGATCTAAAGTCTAACATTCTTTGAACAATTTACTAAGATTATTATAATTTGAAGGTAATTTTGATCTTTCATCTTCTTCAATTTTTTTTAATAATTTTCTTTTATTAATTATACCATCAAATGGATCTTTTTTTGAAATTATCTTAAAACATGTTATAACAAAAGAATATAAATTTGCTTCAAATGTATAATTTTTTATTATTTCTATTGTATTCTTTAATACAACAAAAATTGTGTATCTTAAATTTCTATCTATGTGATTTTTTTTATACTTTTAGATTCTTCTTTATATTAATCTTTGACCAATCAAAATCAATCAACTTTGCAATAATATATTGACAATCATTATTAGATTCACCATCATCTATAGTATTAAGTAGCACATTATCCAACTTTAGATCTTGATAAGAAATTTGCATGTTATGTAAATAACACATCCTTTTTTCAATTTGATAAATAACATCAATAAGAAAGTAATACAAAATTGATCTTTTTATCTCCAATATGTTGCTTAAACCTCCTTGCATCAATTCTATTACCAAATATACTTTTTTCTTTAAATTATTCATTATTAACAAGTCAGCATTCTCATTTTTATTACTTTTTGTAGCATAATAATATTTGATTAAGTTTTGATGGCTTGAACTAGCTAATATATCTACTTCTTGTATGAATATTGCATCTAAAGCAACATCCATTACTTTGGTTATACCTTGATTTATAAACATCTCCATAAGAACTATTATTTATGGCTTTCATAAGCTCTAAACTTTTGATATCACTTGATACTTCCAAAGAATCCAATTCTCCACCTTCTACACATCACAAGTCCTTCAATCATATCAATAGACACTTTGCTAATATATGATCTTCAAATTGCACATCTTTACTTATACACTCCAATCTTTTGTAAACTTCTTTATTATCATATTTAACTTTTTCATAGGTAGAAACATGAATAATATTAGTATAATATCCTCTAATTTTTTTGAATACTTCTTTGAAAGTAAATCAATTTCCACATTTTAGAAAGACTTTAAGTCCTAAAATAATTCTTTGAATATTTCTTTGTTTCACATTTGAAAGATATTTGCTTTATCTCAATGTTATTATACACAATCTATTATTAATATATATATATATATAATATTATATATTGAAATTTATAAAATTAAATTTCATACTTACTTCTTTGATTATTACAAGCTTTCAAGTCTTCAAATACTTTGATAACATGACAAAGTAGTTTGGAAATATTTTACATTGATTTCTATTCAAAAAAACTTTAGTCTTTAATAAAATCTCAATTTCTTCATTGTGATTATAGAATTGAGTAAGCATATCTCTTATATCAAATTTTCTTGCTTTAAATATAATTCTAATATTGCCTACAAACTTGTTACAAAATTCCATAACAATTACAAATTTCAATATACAACAAACAAATAAAAACTTCTATATTGTTGAAACATATTTAACAAAAAACTTTTGAAGATGGGCCATGGTAAATATTTGAATAATTTGTGTAATTTATCTTTAATTATATGAATATAACCTTATTAAATACTTTATAATATATTAATAAATTTTAATCACTAAAAAAAATCTTCAATGTAACAAATGAAAGATTTAATAACTTTTTATCATCTCTCAATATTTTCTATATAATAAACATTCATATATACAAATAAAATAGCACATAAATGCTCATTTCAAATTTCTCATCATCTATACAAAATCATTATGATTGATATTCTTACCTTAAAAAATAACTAACATTTGATTCTTCAATATATCTCTTTGCTTACTAAAGTAACCATAGATTCTTAAAGAGCTATTTGATTACTACAAAATCTTTACACAAAGATAATATAAATGCCAATACAACTAATTTATATGTCAATCTTTAAACATATTTCATACAAACTAATTCACATCTATGATAAGTATTAAACTAGAACATTTTTCCATAATACCACCCATCTTTCAATATCCATCTTACAACACCAACTATTAAAACTAATTTATAAACATGATATGCCACCAAATACATATTAAAATACTATCTTAAAATTTTCATATCCTCTTATTACGATAGTCAACTTATTTCTCCAATTCATTGTATTTTCTTAATCACTCATTGTACCAATAATACAATTACAACTAAAAACAACACCTAAAAAGAAAGAAAGAAAGAAACCTCATGCCTTACATCACAATCATATCAAGCTTTATTCTTTTAACAAACCAAATTAAGAATCCAACCTATACAATCAATCAAATAAACTTTATCCATCGTCTAAGTCTTCTATGTTTTACAAAACTTCAAATATCATCCAAGTCTTGTACTTTACAAACACAATCGTTCACTTCAACAATGTTACACTCGATCAATTTACTGAAGAGGTTGGACACCTCAACTCAACCCAAGAGTTGCAATACTTTCTCTATCCATAAGATGATTTGATATGGATCAAACTGTTCTATTTTACAAGTATGGTGCAAGTTAACTCTGCAAATGAAGGCTGAAGTAAAAGCTGCACACGAAGGCTCATTGGTACATAACCTTAACAGCAACAACTTTCTCTTCAGTGGAGGAGCTGACCTGGTTAGTGTTCATCAAGAATCTTACCTTACTCAAAAAATTGCTGTCATTTTTGCAAGGGCCAGTTCATGTTGCCTCGTGTATATAATCTTGAGTTCTAAGCACGATTATGCATTGCAGCTTGTACGTATTTGGGATCCAGAGAGTCTGGCATCCATTCGGCAACCAATGCAATTACATGCAGCGGGTGCAAGATCACTTTATGCTCTCACTTCTTCATCTATGCCATCACCTGCGGAAACAATTGTGAACTCAACTATTTGGTTAGTATCAGGAGATGCACATGGTAAGGTTGTGCTATGGTGCCTTGTGTCGAAATAGTTAAATGTGTAACAAATATTGAAAACATCAACGCGTTCAATAGGTCTACAAATTAATTCATAAATGAAATTCTTTTGTATAAACATTTCTCTAGCAATGATATGAATCTATGATCTTCTGTGATGGCATTCTTTTCATGGTACAGTATGATTGCGTGGCTCTTATCCAGAGGATACACAACATATCTACGATGACATTCACTTAATCGTTTCAAGCATGAGTCGCTGAATGGATTGAGCGAAAGCTCACGATGCCATTGTGGCTGACCAAGCACGCTTGATTGTTCATACGCTTGCATAGGATACAGCAAGCATGAGCCTACGCAATTTGATTGTGCCGATCAAGCCTACTGTCTAGCTTCCGAGAATCACCTCGAGCACTACATTCGAAGCACAGAAAACCATCATAACAATCTCGGAACCAAGAAAAGAAAAAACCACAGGATTACTTACCATTAGCGGCTCCTTACTCTCAAGTTGCTTGCATGCGGCACGGCGTGTGTATAAGCACAGATTCGAGCAAATCGAAGCAAGGAGAGAGTATCGAGGGTTTTGCGGCGAGGATGTGTGGTGCTCGTTGCTTTGGGGAATCACACTTTGAAGTAGCCGATTAGAAAAGCCAGTGCAATTCGAGCTGCAAGCGGATATAAGAGGAGCAATTTGAGTTAGAATATTTGTCAAAAGGCAATAATTCATTTCTTTGAAGTTATAACTGAATTATTTTAAAAATTTATTAGGATATACTTGTAATTAGGATTTAGAATTAGGATTTGATATAAATTCAGGTTGGGAATTGAAATATGTTTGAAATAGGAAAGAAGGTTGTTAGGATTAGATAATATGAACTTCTGATAAAATCAATTGAATAAATTATAGTTAGAAAAATAGATTTAAACATATAAACTTATAAGTATATTGAATTTTAAATGCATAGAACATTAGGATAAGAAAACATTAAAAATGTTGTATTAAATTTAACTTAACATCTTTAAACTGAATATCAATTATAGATATTGTTTAAGAACTACTTGTATTAGATGTGAAGTTATTTCATAATTATATACCAGTTAGAATAAATTAGTCTTAAATTTATAATTTATAATTAGTTATCTAAAATTCTATGAATACTTAATGTATAAATATAAATTTAAAAGATATCTCTTTATATTATAAATAATAATATTTTATATAATTTAATAGATATTTAATCTATAATAAGATAATTTTAAATATATATATATATATTTATAAATTAGCTAATTATTTATTAAAAAAATAGTCTTATTTCTAAAAAAATCATGTAAAGATTATAAGCAATGTTTAGTTAAATGGTTGATCTACAAACAAAAAGTAATTTTGAGATTTATTTTTATCTTTAAGAAATGCTAGAAATCACAAAAATTAGAAGAAAGAAAATGATTAGTGCTATAGAAATAACATTTTTTTAATAAGATTGACTTTTTTAAAAATATATATATATATATATATATATATATATATATATATAAATGTGATGTTTTAATTTTTTAGTTTTATATTTTTAAATGGTAATAGGTAGTTCAATAAACTATATCTTATTAGTAATTTAAATTCTATAGCAAAGAAAATATTTATATGTTTTTATAAATTTTATATTTTAATAAAATATCATATGTATTATTTAGTCATCTTGGTAGCATTTGATAAATACTACTCTAATATAATAATAGCTTGAGTTACTACAACATAAAAAAATAATATACGTATAATTTTCTTTTTTTATTGCACATGTTAATGAAGAAGGTCAAAGAGAGCATATAAGCTAATATTTATAAAAAACTTGGTGCCTTTGTAAAAAAAACGTTTTAGCATAACTTTAATACATAATTTTTGAGGTATGAAATTTCAAAGTTCTAAAATGTTTCCTTGGGTTGAATTATGGACTTCCAAATCAAGTAGACAAGCATGCAAAAAAAATAAAAAATAAAAAATAAAAAAATCCAGCACATTTATAAATGATATGATATAAATAAAAATATGCAAATAATGACATAGAAATACTAACTTGAACATGTTAACCAAGGCTAGCTCGCCAAGACCCAAAACTTTATCTAATACTTCATAGAAGTGGGACCAAGAAAATAATTATTTTGAACCAATAAAAGGTAAATGAAATAACTTCTAATAACTAGTCATAAATATTGAATGGGCACTGCATACATTTTATGGAGTTATTTCTACCTTTATTTCACTAGTTTTGCATAACAAATGAATGCCATCTAGCAGAACATTTGAACCCATAGCACACCTCCACTTATGACAGTTCATTTCTGCAGTACAATACTGAAGGTAACAAGGATTCATAACTTCTTCTTAACAACAACACTGCACCATAGTTACCATGCAAGCACCGATATTTTTAATTAATTACTTTCTTTCTTTGTCACAAATTTTGACGAGCTAAAGTGTACCCCATTAGAAACAAGTATCTGATGGAATGTAACTTCATGACTCTTTCACTCTTGAATGGTGCGAGGTGACCTCTCAAATTACCCTTCCAGCACCATATCAGACTCCCATTGACCTGTGAATGAATAAAAGCAACCCTATACTACTATCACAACAACAGCAACAATTCAGAATTCCTTGGGTTTCAGTGGCTCTCACTTGCCACGCCGTAAAATTCTATGGATCTGCATCCTTGTTTGCTTTTCATAAATAATTTCATGTTGTTTTCATAAACATTATCAAATTCAAATTTTAAAAATTATACAAAAAAATTGTAAATATATATATATATATATATATATATATATATATGATAGTAAAAAAATCTATTTAAAATAAAGACCAATAAACGTTTTTTTTTCGTAGAGCATAAGAAAAAAAAATCAATAAAATTGCAATTAATGAGTATTGAACTGCATCAACTTTTAAGAAAAAGTAGAGTTATATGTTTTTAAGTAAGAGAAAAATATCACAAACATCTATTTTTTTATAAAAAAATAGAAATAAGAAAAATCATGTAAAAATAAGTTAGTTAAAAAAGATTTCTTTATAAATTTTGATGATTTCGTTGAAAAAAATAGATTTAATCTTTGCATATCCTTAAATGTACCATGTGGCTTTATAAACTTCACTTAAATGTTTTTTTACTTAATTATTTATTACATAAATATTCTATAATTTAAATGGCTTTTTTACGAACCTCATGGTCTTAAAAAACTTTAATACGAATTTATATATATATATATATAAGAAAAAAAAAAGTAAGATATTCTTTAGTCTTCTCAAAATAAAACTCATATTTCAATTTAAATTCAAGAATCTCTAATCCCTTTATTTTTGGTAATAGAAATTATAAAAATATTTTCATATTTTTTATATTTTAAAAAATATATATATATATATATATTTATTTATTTATTTATTTACATATAGTAGTCATATTTTAAAAAGTTAGTGTAGATTGTATTATTGATAGTAAAAGTTAGAAGATAATTTTTATAAGCAATATAATTTAAGTGTGTGATTCTAAAAATAAAATATTAATATTAGTATTAATATTAATAAATTATTTAATAATATCTTTTAATATATATGTAGATTTATTAATATTGATGTATAAGAGACATAAATTTAGATGAACTTGTCAAAATACAATCTACTATTATATGCAAATAATAAATAAAAAAAGAATAAATATATATATATATATATATATATATTATAAGATAAAAGATCTTAGAATAGGTATTGCTAAGTCTAAGAAATTAGTGATCCAATAAATTAAAATTAGATTTTATAAAGAACGTTGAAAAAACCAAAGATGGCCTTAATCTTACATCCATCTATACTAGCTAGCAAGAAAGAAATGCTGAAAAGTCTTAAAGACCACAAGACTTTTAGATCAAGTGTGTAAGTTGTAAGATGCTTCAATAGGAGCTTTGTAAGCATAAGAAACTTCTTGAAGTTATCATAGCCACATGGCATATTCAAAGATATCCATAGATCCAATCTACATTTTTAAACTTTCTTTAGTGTTTCTTAAGAGGGATATTAGTTGTTCAAGATATTATAATTTTAAAAAATTAGTCAAATTAATTTTGTTTATTATTTTATAACTCATTCTAACAATAAACAAAATTAATTTGACTAATTTCAAGAACAAGAACACCTTAGTCTTGGAAGTATAATTTAAATAATGATGTATAATATATAATTTTTATTCTTGTGGCAATTTTTGTCATCAAACTAATTCTTTGATTTTGGTTATTACTAGTTCTATGTTGAATTTTTATATCTCTTATATTTAGTTGTTGTGCTTTAGAAAAAAATCTATTCAAATATTTATTTGAATCAGGCATCAACCATTGCATTCCTCATCCATTGCTTTCCACATCAAACATATTCTTGAATCAAGCATCAACCATTCTTTGATTTTGGTTATTAAATGTAAAACATGAAGAAAAAAAACAAACAAACAATCTTTCATTAAGAATTTCTTAAACAATAGTTTTTGTTTAGTATTCTTGCATAGCTTTAGAAAAAAATCATGTTACAATGAATATTTACTAACAGCTAAAATCTTCAAGTGAAGAATCATGTGCTTAAGTTTTAAATACACGATGTCAAGTTTTTCAACCGAAGAGCTCGGAAAAATAATTGGAATCATGACTTTCTAATTAGATGCGTAATTTTTGGTACTTCTAATTGAGAAAAGTTTCATATGCAGATGTTACTTTTGGAAGGGTTTACTAGTACCAGGTTTGGTTTGACAGCAGTCGAAAGATCGGGAAAGCTATCGATACAGAACAACTTGAAATGTGTGCAACTCGGCCCAATTTCAACAAATACCTGCACAGACTAAACAAGCCAAGTGTAACACTGGACAATCTGGCCAGCATCAATAATATAATTTTAAAGAGCATAAGTGTATTCAAGGCGTTGCCAATGAAGATTCTAGATTGTCACACGACCTACACTTCAGTTCCTGCTCTAAGCAGACCGAGTAGTCATCAAGCATTACATGGTTGCAGTACGGTACTCTACTAAATGAAACATAAACTGAACAGAGGGGTGCTGATCCCTGCAGGGCAGTAGAAAAAATAATTCGAGTTCGAGGAGAAGCAATTAGAGAGAAATATGTTGAATGCGGATCCTCAAGAATTCTGGCATTACGAATCCTAATACTATACACAATGCTGGGGATGCTCCTCGGTCGTAAGAGTTCAGCATAGGTGGCGAGAGAGCGCGAGATCTACTGTCAGGATTCCAGTGTCTTCAGAAGTCGGAAAAGGGTGGCAGCCTCACGTATTTGTGAAAAGTTGATGCAAAATGCCTGAACCTCTATAAATAAGTCTTGCACTGTAATTAGACACGCATGTAATCTAAGTCAATGAAGAGACATATTAATCACTTGATACAGAAAAAACAACAATACGTTAGCAACTATCAACGTAGAAGCTATTTGAATTAGCTTGTGCCTATTACAGCCACTGGTAAGACATGGAACTTAAAAATCACCACATGCAATCACACATCGTAAGTGCGATATTTTCAAATGTCGCTGTAACAACAGCAATACAATATACAACACATACCATTGATTATCTTGTTTCGAATCAAGCTTTGCAAAAAGACACACACCAGTCGAACCAGACGGTTTTGCATGTACTTGTCCTGAACAATACACAACGTAATTGTTAGTTAATGATGAGATTGACACAAGAATATTGAATCAACCCACCCACAAAGCACGAGTTAGAAAACCGAACCTTGATATTTTCACATGATGATATACAATTGGAGATGTACATATGAACAAACTCAGTGGGAAGATCCACAGTTGTTGTTAGGCGGTTCACTACTTCCATTGAATGAAGACTAATATCCATATTGACCAGCATTTTAAAATAACTGCAAGCAACCCAATTCTATTAGAATAACCATAACAAAATAAAGGTAAGAAAGGAGACCATTCACATCTATCTGCTTAATCTACAGAAAAAAGTCAATACAACACAAGTGTCAATCCAACTTCATAATGTACTCCAACATATCCCTATACAGATTCAAAAAGTCCCCGCAAGTATATATTCATGCTACGGGAAGCACAATGTTCTATGCATGTCTGGTAAACCACTGGGTTCAAGGCCTACAGTGAATAACCACAAAATTACTTACTCAGTAATCTGGTTTGAATTCATCAGCTTTAGCAAAACTGCAACAGCGATGAAGGGGTTATGATCTACAAGTTCCTGCAAAGAGCACAATCAGCTGTTAGGAAAGGCAACAAAGCTCAACACAACATATCAAGTCAAACTTAACGTATATAATGACACGACATGCTCTTTCTATTCATTCAGAAATTTTTCGTAAACATACGCCAGAAAAGACACGGTCTTCAGTCACCACAATCCTGAAGTCACTATCAAGCCATGAGGATACGTAAGGCACAATAGACATGGTATTCCTTAAAAATTGCAACACAAGTTTGTAAGTGGACTCATCAGAACGACATATTCATAAGTAGATGCTAACGGTAGGTCAAGGGCGTACAGGTAATCTTCGTGGGGTCAACCCACAGTGGAACACAAGTTTGGGATCAGCTTCTAGCTCCATTACGACTTTCTGTTACAGAAATAGAGACCTTGACAAGTAAGTTCAACTGCACGAAAGTCAAAATAGGATAGCATGCACGCCATGTTTTGGTGAGCACGTGAACACCAACACCTGATTCATGAATTTAACTATGTACACTGAGAAATACATAAGGTCACTAAAATTAATCACCAAGGTAGATTTATTTTTTAAAAGGAAAGGGTCTCTAATCAAAAAGACCTCCAATTGAAAGTGAACTTTCACACGGTCCTCAGATTTAGCAAATAACACATATAGATACTTAACTAACAACCACAGTAAGCATGATGAGACTAACTACAAGACCTAAAGCCACTACCAGCCACACAAAAATGAAGTCAATAGTCCGTCCAAGATATAGAATATTTTTTGCAGCCTCCTTAATATGTTGTTTCTCAGCAAAACTCTTACTCCTACTGAAACAGAACCTTAATCTACTGATAATTCTCAAAGATAAATATCACAAAAGACAAGCAATGTAGAAAAGACACCAAGATGATCAACCTTGGATAAGCCTACTACGACAACTTGCTCTATGGACTCCAATGGACAATTGACAATAAACATTAACCTAAGTCCAACTGAAATTGCTTAATATGCTACTACAATCATAACCAAAAAAGAGTTGTATGTTGAAGTCAACAAGGTACCAAGCAAAGGCTGAAGACACAGCTCTATCACTCTGGCCCATTTACAGTGATAACTGGTAATGACCGGCTGTCACTGCTCTAATTCATGAGGTTATCAATCTAAAAGCTGAATGCGCTTAATTACTAGCAACTGATTTGTTATCCTTTACTCTATGAGGACCAGGAGTTGGTTATTACAACATAAATCCCGAATGAGAGTCATGTTGAGAAAGTGTTCGCCACAAGCTCATGCCTTTTCCCATTTTTCAATTCAATCTATACATAACCAAAACTGGACACTGCTAGTAATAACAGGAGTATACTAGAACAGCCTATCCATGATTCTTCTATGTGACATGATCATCGAAAAGATTGCAAAACACATATTAGTGATGCCAACACATGCCAAGTCATCAACAAAGTAGCTAATCTCCATGAAGAACTGTTTCCCATGATTGTATACTGCAAGTGACAGTACACACTAAGTAGAGACAAGACGTGATATGGACGAGAAGGGACCTTCAGTTGCGCAGGCGCCAAAGCACCTTTCAAAGCCCGGTTAATTTGCTCTCGAATAGCAGCACCTCGACTGGTATCGGCACACATTCCATAATCCCACAGAAGTTCATGTTGGGTATCTGGAACTTGCCAAATCATCTGAAATCAATCGTTGGAAAGGACGATAAGAATACAAACCTCACTCCACAAGGTAGTAAAAAGCATCCAATAGAATAACAAAGTATAATAAAAGTACTATGTTAGACCCTTTCACGAGAAGGATTTTCAGGCTTGCAGCTAATACTCTACAAAGCACACCAACAGAAACAACTATAAAATTGAGGAGTTGTTTCGCAGCGTTAGTACCCACTTGAGTGACAACCATGTAACCAGGAATAGGAGAAAGATCACTTTATGTCATGTGAGGTTTGGACCACCTGAGAAATGTATGAACACAAGACAAGTTCTAAATGCAATGGACTACATATATCAATTACATACCTCTCCGTGCTGGGGAGGAAGCCTTGGTGGGGCAGGGCGCACCCAAGGTGGCTCCAGCCCGTTCAGCGAGGAAGCCTGTACCAAGGCAGCAGCCGCAGCTTCTCTGTTCCCGGCCCCGAGCTGTGCCACACCTCCTGGCACACCGTGTCTGTAATCAACAGGATACGAATGCTAGTCAAACGATGTACATCCTGATCAAACACAAAGACACAAAAATACGAAGTGATCTCAACCTTGAATAATATATGTCAACATCTAGAGCACTTGGGAGCAGATTTTGTTGACAACAACAGGAAGAAAAACGTGCAAATTGAAGACTAAAAATTAAAACGAAAACAAAAAAACAAAAAATATATAAATAGCCTCAGTAAATCCTTAGACCAACTTGAAAATTCACATTACTTCAAACACATCAACGTTCATAAAATAGTAGCTCAAGAAATAATTACTCAGAAGAATCAAGGTCATAGCCCGGCGGGACATCTGGATCAGGAATTGTGTTACTAATCGATGCCTTCTTGAAACTGCTCATACGGGGCTCGGGTGGAAGCTTGTCGGCATATCCTGATTTCAATGTCTCAGCGTTTAGAAGATTCTGTAGTAATTCCAAGACATAAACCACCACTGTTATAGTCTAATCTGTAACAATAAACAAATGTTCTAATTTATCAAGAAAAGACCGCAACAGTAGAGCATCTGTAGACCACAAAAATTCACAACCTTACAATCTAGTTTCATCCAAACAAGCATCAAACCATATGAGAATTAACAATACTCGTAACTTGATATGGAAAGAGTCCTTAAGTCGAGAATGTGAAAATGAAGGTTGTACATGAGCTGAGGGGTCGAATGTTGAGATGAAATCACTAGCTGATTCAGTCGAAAGCTGCAAGAAGACCACGGCAAGTTTCATTAAACTGCGGTAGATCATAAACGAACCTCAAACTCACTTTATCAGAGTCAAGAAAACTCTTCCCTACCCACGGGAATAATTGGGAGCATACGCATTAAACCTTGAAAGGCTCGTGAATAGAATCAGTAGAAATAAAATCTTGACCCATTGCATGTATTCCAGACAAGATAAGACTGCTGGTCGTTGCATCATGTTTTGGTGTAAAGTAATTTCCTGCCTTCAACTACAGCTTTGAACGACTGTTTCAATTAGATCAAGTATAAGAGGAGAATTAAGGAAGCAGGACAGACACAAGGTCGAGTCCTTGGACATAGTAAATCTATTTTTGTTAATATCCAACACCATCTCAGAACTAAAAGAGAACTACAAGCACTTAGACACTTACTTCATTGCTGTTGCTATTGAGAGACTGCAGAAGCAACTGTAGAAATGCACGTTCCACCATATCTGCTGCCTCATTGGTGGCTGCCTGCATCGTGAACGTGTAACATTCGTGAATTTTTTAAAGGAAAATCCAGGCTAAATAGCCTTTTCATATTCATCTTTTCTGCCAAGTGCACTATGTATTGACTTTCCCCAAGCAAAGATACGTTGAGCGCTCACATCAATAAGAAACGACAGGAAAGGGTTGGTGCATGGCTGCTCGCCACGATAGACCTCAACCAAAATGTAAAAGGCTACAAGGCGTTGAGTCTGCTTCAAAAGCCGCCGATCCTTCAAAACGATTACCACGACAACAGTTAGCGCTAGGCATTTCACTACACATAGGACAGTAATTACATAACTATTACCTATCGGCATTCTACAAGTTACAATGTAGAAATAAGCTCTTAAACCCTAAATCATAAATCCTCACGTATCTAGCATGTCCATGTCACACTTAGGGCAAAATCGCGCCTGCAAAGGAACTTAGGAACATCCTTGTATTGTTTCTCTGTTCACACATATCATAGCATGATAAAAACAACGTCGAATGATCCCTCAACATTGTTGTAGGGAGAATTGAACAAGATTAATTCTAGCATCGACAAAGAAACGCTCATCAAATCTGACCTACAATCAATTCATCGGAAAACTACACAAGACTCTCTGAATTACGGTACCGCCACCTGCTATGAAACCATAATTCACATCCTGAATGGCGACACAATTTACCGAACTACTTACTAAAACAAAAAACGCCTTGACCTGCGGTGCAACTCATTTAAGACTGTGATTAGCAATCAACCAAAATTACAACCGATGCCATTCATTTTTACAAAACCACTAGAAGAATAATACGACATTGTCAACGCATACGGACGCAAAATTCAATCACAAACCCCACCACACAAAAATCCTCACTATGATTTCCCAACCAAAGTTTAAAAACTACTCGCAAAAACACGTGAAATACACTACCATACACTCCAACGAACCTCGAGGAGCAGGATTAGGCAACAACAGGCCTTAAAGTGCTGATGGCGCTTAAATGTGATGGTAAAAGCCGATACATGACTATCGAAAGATTGCTCGTCCCCAAGGACGGCCAGAAGGGCAGCCGTCTCCCCGGAGCTTAACATTATTCCTGTCGTTGAAACCTCAACGATGCAAAACTCTACCTGCTGAGGTCTAACTAACGCTAGAAAAACAAAGGAAGAAGAGCCACAATCAACACCTCACAACCTGACCACGCATCTGTCGCCTTCGATGCATTAAGCAAGACCTTCGCAATGAACCCTCAGTGTATTAGTCAACCCAGAGCAAGCAAGCACTCTCTTCCAGCCCTGCCCTGCCCTGCCCACGACTTGTTCCTGTGCAAAAAAATTGGCACCATCGCTGGGGACGACGAAGCCCAACCAAAGCAGAAGGAGAGAGAGAGAGAGAGAGAGAAACAGGACTTGCATCAACTGGTATCATCTCCCGGGTACCAACTGTTATCCGCCTACCGTAGATATAAATTGCTGAGGTTTATCAACATGTTGCAAGTAACAGTTCCGGGCGTCAGTAGGAAAGCTGGTATCAATTACCTTCCTGGTATCATCGATTGGAGTGGAACCCAGAAGCGGGTGTCAATAATCACTCTGGTAAGGGCATATTCCGTCACAATCTCTGGTCAATTATCATGGTTATGCACATCCATTCCATCTAATTGCTAAATTTTAATATATTGCATGTTATTTACATGATGTTGTAAGTAATTTTTTAAATTAACTTAAAATTTGTTTAATAACAAACTAAAACCTATACAAATAAAATTAAATAATTTTCTCAATCTATTTTATGAAGACAAAAGGTGTTAAAAAATAATAATAATAAAAATAAATATCGTCATGCTAATCTGCATTAATATTGTCATATCTTGAGAAACTTAATAAAAAAAAATATATCAGTTTTCTTTATATCTATTCTATTCAATAATTCATAATTAAGGTTGTAGTTTGTAATCAAAATGCAATCAAAATGCATATTGGAACATATTTTGAATAATAAATGAACTTTTGTTTAAACATACACAAATCTTTAAAAACTACTATATAGTAAGTATTTAGAAGAAGAAAAAAAAGAGAAAGAGAAAAAAACAAGTGAAACAGAAAAATAATAATAATAATAAATTAAATGATATTAATAATAATCATGTACAAGTCATAATAAAATCATAGTTTGCTTGATTCTTGTTTGCAAATATATTCTGAAGGAATATTCTTCATAAATGAAATATACATTTGTGAAAGTTTTATTTTATTTTCTCTCTCTTTCATGCTTGCTATGGTGGATTGTTCACATTTTAGTGCTATAAAATTGCTCTAATGGCTTGTTTGGCTCCAGCTTGTAGGTTATGGCAATAAGGGTTTGAGAAAGACAATAGCCTTAATTTGTAGCTTTTTCTGAAAAAAAACTAAGATATCTTAAGAAATTTAAATATTTTTGGATTAGGAAGGATAAACTTTGAATTGTAAATGCAAGAATTCGTTTAAATTTTTTATTTTTTTGTAACAATTTTATCGTAATTTAAGATAAATTATACAAAAAAATAAAATTACAACTGAAAATAAATAGAAAAAATTATCTTTTATATATTACAACATGTGTTGGAACTTGAGGATCTTTTTGTAATTTATTCTGTGTGAATTTATTTTTTTATTTATTTTCAAAAAGGTTCTGTCTAAAATAATCGTGTAATTTCAATTAGTATTTCAATATTATATTATATTTTTTTTACAGTAATCATGATTTTTTGAGTATATTTGCTTTGAAAAATAAAATACAATAATCTTAAACACTAATGAATTCATTTATTTTTGTAATTTTTTCTTGTGTGCCACATGTGGTGAGACTTGAAACCAATACTTAATATTATAATTTTATAAATAATAGATCTTGGTATTCTAAGCTAACATCATATTTAAAAAAATATTTTAAAATTCATAATATTTTCAAATCACAAAAAACACACTAAAAATAAAGTATTAATGAAATTACATCACCTACTGATGAAGAAGTTGAATTCATACCTGTTGTCTTAATTTTGTAAACCAATATATATATATATATATATATATATAAAATAAAAATTCAAAAAAATCAAAGATTTATAGAAATAGTAAATAACAGGTTTAAAGCCTTATTTGATAAGATATAATTATAGTCAATGAAAGGGATTGATTTTTTATACCAATGAAACAGGATATGTTATTGAAACTGAACCACAATAAATCAGAGCAGTACATAACATATTTCATAACCAAAGCAAGTCTTGAGCAACACCATGAGTATTTGAAAGAATGCAGATAAATTTAGAATGAAGTTATTTTGAGATCAAAATGGGACGAAAACATGGCGATGGACTCGGATGGTCAAAGGCCGAATAGATCACATTATTGATTCCTGTCACAACGACAATGATCCCGAATTGGGCTGCAGTGAAATCAAGGCTTCCTCTGCAAAACCCTGATTCTCGGCGCTGTCTCCTAATCAAGGGAGATGGAGTAAATATGTTTATCGACATCCCCTAAGAGTTGTATGCACTATTTAGAATGCATTTCTGTATGCTCAATAGGTTACACAAAGGAGATGTATTGCTGCAGAGCTGTGGACTTCGGGCAGGTCCTTGATGAAACGTGTGGATTACGACGAGCTTGTTAGACGTGGGATTCGAGTAAAAGCTGCATGTTTCATGAGGGCTTCATGAATTTCTTAGGCTTGTGTTAAGACAATGTGACAAAGAAACCTAAACCTAAACCCTAAACCCATATCCTGCTTCCGATCTCTTCACACTCAAACTCTATTCGTAAAAAAATTAACCTCATATTTCCTTTGTAATATTTACAACAGTAATCAAACTGACAAAAATAAATATGAAGGACGAGGACACACAATTATACTATTCCTCACGGAAATGCAGAAACAACCGGAACTCCAAACTTCATGACCAGAGAGTTTGCCTTGTGTATGACATTTTCTTCATTAAAGTCTTACAAGATTTTTACATTGGCCTGCAGAGTCTCTGCGTTTTGTACTGAAACGAACTGCTGACTCCAAAGGAATTGGTCAAATCCTCATTGACATGCCGCATCACACGCTCAATTTTGTTACTAGACTGCATACGGTCATCATTGAATGACACAATGCTTGATAATGGTCTGACGCTGAACACCAGAACCCACAAGAGCCGTGGACTTAATCGCTAGCTGCCCTCTGGTCCTCCATCAAACTTTGCTTAGTGTCGTTTAAAGAAATCTCTGAACCTTCATTTTGCAGTGATGATGACTGAAGACGCCGCTGAAATTCGATGAGCGGAGGGATCTTGCCAGGTCCTACACCTGGCAAGCATAGTACTCAAGAGATTTTGTCGATTTGATGATTTTATGTTGTAATAAAAGCACTAATGTGTATGACATTGGTATCAATCTGGCACACTTACCCGAATTCATGCATGCTGTATCTTACGAAAAGCGCAAGATGTACTTCAGAAGTTGGGCACATGATGCATATCGAGCCACATTCAAGTGGTCCATCTGATGAATTCCAAATCAAGAAAATAGAGAACAATCTACTAAAGAACTGCAGGTTCGCAGGTACTAATACGTTCTCCAGGCAGAAATTGGGTTTTCAAGCATCCTTCATCTTCGAAAACGGCAACAATTCTCTCAAGCAATAGGGCAGTGGGAGCAATGGTCAAGTAAACTTAGATTTGTAAAATGCAACAATATTACCTGTGGCTGTATCCCCAAATTGAATGTAGTAAGAAATTAAAAAATTCTTTTCATTTTCATCTTCACACTGTGTACAGCACCGCTGCAATTAAGCTTAGAATGCCGGAGCGTGTTGCTGAAAAAATACTAATTAAGTACAAATGCGAAAAGTTGTTGCTTTGGACAACATACAGGTGCAGCAACATTGTAGTGTAGCTTGGCGCATAACCAAAGATCAAGTCACTCCAACAACACAAAATGAGAATGCACATAGATGACATGCGCTTATAAAACAAGATTCATGAATTCATGAACAAGATGTTTGGGCAGCTACACCTTGCGACACTTCAAGCTTCATTAAGCTGGTGTTCTGTAATAAAAATAGATTCTACTCACTTAGTGAGTTTGAATGAACCCTCAAAACTAATTATGTCAACCGTAATTGGTTCTTGCTCCAATTACAGTACCCACATGATCACAACAGCTCTACAAGGTCCAACTGATATGAAATTGTGACCTAGTTTACGAAGTATGATGGGGGACCAATTTAAGTTAAATCTACAACATGCTTGAACTAGTCCAAGGATTTCAATACTAGAAAGAAATGCAAGGACCAATCAGCTCCTCTTCTGGCATACTATAATACACTAAAGAACGTAGTGAAGAGGGGGGGGGGGGGTATCTTACATGACTCAATCTTACATAGCACAATTTAAGTAGAATAAAACCCAATGAACTAAGAAACGGAAATGCGACTAGGATCAGGAGCAGGATTATGTTGCCTACGCGGAATGAACATTATGAGACAAACTCCTCCAATGGCAATGGCGGAGCCAATGAGGTCCCAGCGATCAGGCTGCACGCCGTCAAAAGCCCAAGCCCAGAAAAATGAGAGCAGAATGAAGAAACCACCATACGCAGCATAGACGCGTCCGAACATTTCATCTTGCAAAGTCGGGACTATCCCATACAGAACCAAAATTGCACTTCCTAGTATAAAAAATCCCCAATGCCAACCCGATCTCCGCCACTTCCACACAAACCAACCCCCTCCAATCTCGCACAGCCCCGCTGCTACAAAAAGCGCAATAGACTTGAACACCTCCAATGCTTTATCCGACATCTCTCCTGGTTCCAAATTGTGCTCCAGTTCCTACACTTCCCCAATCCTCCTTGTGACGGCTCTCCCGATGATGATATAACCACTAAAACCCTAAACCCGAGCAACCGGAATTCGACAAAAAAAAAAGAAAAAAAAGAAAAAAAAATTCAACAAAATACAAAGAGAATCCACCTCCTCCAATTGAAAACCCTGAACCCTAAACGAGGCGATCAATTGTCAACCGAAGGCTCTAGTTATCGGGTTCAAATAAAGGCTAGTGTGAAAAAGGACCTCGACGTTCTCGAGTTCCCGTTAGATTCGAACGCGTTGTTCCCGACACAAGAAGGAAAAGACAGTCTTCGCCCTAAAGCTACAAGGAGAGCATCTTCGGTGGGTATTTTTTATTTTAATATCTGAAAGTAGATGAGAGCATAGAACCAATAACCCCTTTTGGGGGAAAATATCTTTTTTTTTTTGGGGGGGGGGCACTTTGCATGAGTCCAATTTGACTTCCACACCATTAGAACTTCATCAAATAGATTCTTGTTACCAAATTGGAATTGTTGGTTTCTGAAACTTTGAATTTATTTGGGCACCCTATTTTTTTTTTTTTTTTTTTTTAATTTTATTTTGTCATGTGAGTTGTTGCATAAGACAAAATCAAGTTAAGACTTGCGGCAAACTTGAATACTTCAAAGTGTTTATGTTGCTGAAAGTCAAAATGGACAATGAATCAAGTGTTGTTGTGCCTTACATCTTTGTCATTTTGTTACTATGAAACCAAACATATAACCAAAGAGCATGAAATGGTGTATATGTATGTCTATCTATATATATATATATATATAAATAAAGCACTGTTTGAGTTGAAATTCTTGATTATTTTTTTAAATATTTATCATTAAACTTTATGTTTCTCAGATAAATAAGTACAAATATTTCATCATTATGAGATATTTTAGCTTTCATAACATTATTTTATTTTTATAAGAAAATAGTTGATAATGCAATAGGTTTAATAATATGTTCTATTTAATTAGATTTGTTTGGTTATTTTCAATGAAGATCTATTTGATCAACTAATACCAACTTGTCTTCAAATAAATCAAATTTTCATGGATTTTTTCATGTATTTATCAACTATATATATTTTTTTGATTACTGATTTTTAGCCAATTAATCCTTCAAAGTCTTTCTATATTTTTATTTAATTTTTAATTCATTTTTTTAATAATAACAATTTTTTTGTGACTATTTGTGAAGGACAAGAACCTATACAAACTTAACTAGAGAAAGTATGTTCAAATACAACTATTAATTTAAAAAAACAAAAATTCTTAGTTTCCAGGCAACAGAAATGCTAAAAAATGCCAATGGCATCTTGCTAAAGCTTTTGGAATTGATAGCATTCACCAATGCAAATGTAATAACACTGAAGCTGCATATTACAATGCACACTTACAATTATTCAAATATCTTAAATGCAATCAAAATTCTAGGGTTTATTCTTTTTTTAAAAAAAAAAATAAAAAAAAAATCACTAAAATTACTTTTACTTTGGTTGCTTGCTAGGACGTGGTTGGTTTTTGTTCATTCATTCATTCATTCATTCATTCATATATATATGATTTATTGCCCTTCTTCAAGCATGTTGTGCAAAAGTATTTGTTATCAAAAGAGAAGCAGCTTTGTGGTTTTGCAAAGATGCAGAAAGTAGTTATAAATCCCAGATTATCTCAAATGTGAGAATAGGCAACTTCAAGTGCACACCAAGCAAGAATGAAATTCAAGACCATTTATTTGACCATGTAAATTTGAGTTTGTATACTGGCACACCCAGACAATACTTCCTTCATGAAAATAATTAATTAAATGAATGAACTCACACACATATAACTATAAATATATATATTTGTTTTTGGATTGAATCATAATTTTCTCAGCAAACTTGTTGGGATTGAGTTAGCAATGTACATGTCTTCCTTAAGCATGGACTCACTTGTCATTGTGAAGCTCAATGTTCCTCATCTTGTCCATTCCATGTACCAAGCAAGTATTTTGTAGTATCCCATTTATCTATTGTATACTACGTTTTTTCTATTTAAAAAATATATATATTATGTTTAAATTTCAAATGAAATTACAAATTAAGAAAAAAAAAATGTCCATGGTTATTTAGAATAAATTATCAATATTTATGGTAAAGTATTAATATTAAAACAATAATTGAATACCTATATGCAAATTTTTCAAAAAATAAAATTGAGTTGTATTTATAAATAAATTTTAAAAAATTAAAAAAAATCTAAAACATTTACTTTATTAACTACTTGACTATAGCATTTTCTTACAAAATTTGGAGAATTTAATCTAACTAATAGAAAAAATTAAAAAATAAATAAATATCAGCTTACCAAAAACAAAGGATTCTGGATATTTATTGCAGTGTTTAATTGTTAAATAAATATCCTTTTTATAAACTGTTGATTTGTATTAGAATTAAGTTACATAATTTATTTTATATGTTCTGATTTAACTTTTAATAATTAATTATATTAAATCTATTTAAAGTAAGATTTATCTAATAGTTATATAGATTGCATTATGAGAATTCCACATTATTTGAATTGTGCACTTATGTCAATGAAATGCTGATTTGGGTACTTTCTATGGATTGAGTAGAAACATTCTTGCACAAGTTTGAGGTAATGAACTATGTTGTTATTCATTGTTACTTCATGATTTAATTTTCCGTCAGTGTTTCTTCTCTATTCACTAATTAAGCAATTCTTTATGCACTAGAATGAAGAAAAGAAAAAAACAAGTTATTGAATCTTGAATTTTGTATAAATGAAAATTTTGTATTCTCAAACATCATCATAGATTTTTTCTAAAGAAAATTTGAAACATAAAATAAATAATTTATTACATATATAGCAACTTCAAAATTACATGTAAATAAGGAAATTACAAGGTAAACACCTCCCTTTTTATTACGTGGATATTCTCCATGTTATACCAATAATACACCATTGCTACAAGTTTTTCAACAAGTTAGATATTAAGGAGAGAAAAAGGTACAAAAACAACAACAAAAAACAACATTAGTCCACAACACATGAACATTAACAACACAAAACTTAAACAAAACAAACAAATGAAGACATGGAAAGTGTCTACATACTAAAATGGAGATGTCTGTGTCCTAAAAGGATGGTGTCTATATAGTCAAATGGAGGTGTCTATCTAACAATTCTCTTAGATAATTGTAAATTCAAAATCATTTGAAAAAAAAATATTATAATTATTGTTGTAGATGTCTTAAAGACGAGTTCTTATTTTTATTTTTTTTATTGTAATGAGGCAATACTTTCAAAAAATGTGCTACAAGTTCCATTTGTTTGACTAGGCTTCAAAATTAAATAAAAACAAGCTTAGAATGCTTATGCTTACAAATAATTATTTTAATTCTTTTGCACAAATGTGCAGTCTATTTTGTCAATACATACTAAGCATGGATTTTCTTGAGTAAACATGCAAAATCAACAACTCATTATTCTAAGATAGTTGTAAATTTTTGATGGTATATTGAGAATGTTGAGAAGTACTTAGAGGATATCTTGAATTAAATTGGAGATACTTGGAGGTATATTTTAAAATTCCATATATTCATTTTAGGATTCGATATAATAATTATGCATGTGGTTTATAGAAATAAATACTTTATCTTGAATTATACATATAATTATATTGAAGTATCTCCAATATAATTCAAGATAAGTAATTTATCTTGTCCTTGCTACTTTAGTAAGATCAATTAAAAATAACACTCTAAACAGCTGAATTTCAAAATAGTAGTGATGTTGCAATAATTTTTCAGCTAAAAATATATATTCAATTATGGAAAAGTAATTTTGATGAAATTGAAAAATATTCTCAGTTATTTTGAAATTGATAGAATATGATAAGCAAAAAGGTATTGATAGGAATTATTGACACTAGATGTTTAAAGTACCAACCAAAATAAATGTTTCAATAATAAAATGAAAAAATTAACAAAAAAATAAGAATTTATAGAAGTATATAGAGTTTGGTATTATTTAAAATCCTTCATCTCTTTCTCATTCATGTACGCACACATACATACATACGTATATATTTATGTGCATACATTTCTTTGGAAGTTGGGTGGGGTGACTTATGGTGCATTATTCAAACTCAAATATCTCTCACCTCACATATTGTTTTTCAGAACAATCCACAGTCATATTCTTCTTGTGGTACACCCTATCAAAAGTTGTTGCATCCATTTTCCTAGTACCTTCATTCCCCCCCCCCCCCAATTTATAAATTCATTTCATTATTATTGTTATTATTACCACTGCTTGTAATTCATTTCTGTGATGATGATTATTAGAAGGAGATCTGCAGATGATCAATGGCATTGGCAGATGGGTAATCCCAGGAGTGACTTATTTGTTTATTATTTGGAGCAAATGGCATCCTTCAAAAACTCCATCCATCAAGATTTTTCATCCACGTATTTTCATCCATCCACATCTCACTCTGGAGTGGAGTGATGTTGATACAGGCACATGTGTTGCCTGCCACTTTTGCAGCCCTCAACTGGCCATGTCCCCTGCCTTGCACATACCAACATTAGTATTTGCCCCAAAATCCAATGTATGTACATGCATATACATATATTTCCTTTTACAAAAAAGATTAAGTAATATAAAAGGACCCAGAAACACAAAACAAAACAAACCTGGTGATCTATCACATTCACAGCCAGATGATGACGACAGACAGAAAAACATTAAGGAGTATCAAGAGCCTTCATTTATAGTGGATGATACAACAGGGAAAAAAAAAACTAGAAAAAAAAAAAATCAAAAATCAAAAATCAGAATGTATTTTTTAATAATAATAATAATAATCAACAACAACAAACAACTAGAAGTTATACTTTTCTGTGTGCTGCTCCTCTTCCATGTCCTCCATCCTCCATCAGTCAGTCT